CCTCCCTTTCTTGCTTCTTCTGCCTTTCTTCCTTTCTTCCAGCCTTTCTTATTCCCTCATCATACCTTGTCTACATCCTCCTCCCTCCCTCTTTTCTCTCGCTTCCTCACCTGTTTTCTCTTCTACTTCTCTCCAATTCTCCATGTCCGTTTCCCACTTGCTCCCCCTCTCATTCTCTCGCCTTCATCTACCCCTTCACATCCTCTCTCTCTTCCCCCTTTTCCCCTCATCCTCCCCCGCTCTCTCTCTCTTTCTCCTCCCTCCTCTCCCTCTTTTCCTGAAGTTCCATCTACCTCGCATTTCCTCCCCTCTCTTCCCTTCCTTTGCCAGCGACATGTCACCTTTCTCTGCTCTATCCCTTTCCCTCCCATTTCTTCCCTGTACTATTGCCCTTGTTATTATCCAGTTGACACGCCCCCCTTCCCCCTCCCCATACTCCTTACCCTTACCCCACCCACCCCTTTCACATCGTTCATAGTTATTGCTATGGTGCCTCCCTCCTCCTCCCCCTCTCCCTCCCTCCCTCACTTTCCCCTTTCCCCTTCCTCTCTCCTCTTTATCAAACCCGTCAATCTAACAGGGACATGTAAGCCTGGCGGAGGGGTTGTGGACGGGTGGGGGTGGGGGGGGGGGGGGGGTTAAGGGGGAATGTAGTGTGGTGAAGAAAAGTCAGAGGAAAAGAAATGGGTATGCCCTTTTATTTCTTTTTCTGTATTCTCTATCTGTCATATATATATACATCTTAACATTCATATACATATGTATATATATATATATATATATATATATATATATATATATATATATATATATATATATATATACACATATATGATATAACATATCACAAACACAAACACAGTAACGTACACACAAAGATAAAAAGGAAAACGGCCACAGGAAGAAATGAAAATAAATCGTGGCATTTCTAACTCTTCACGAGTTCCTCTTCAGACGAGTAGTAAATCGAAATGGATCCATTTCGGTTTATTCTTCTTCTGAAGAGGAACTCGTGAAGAGTTCGAAACGTCACGATTTATTTTCATTTCTTCCTGTGGCCGTTTTCCTTTTCATATATATATATATATATATATATATATATATATATATATATATATATATATATATATATATATATATATATATATATATATATATATATATATATATATATGATGAAGAAGATACTGTTGAAGTAGATGTAATGATAATAAAAATAATGATAATAATAATGATAATAATAATAATAATGATAATAATAATAATAATGATAATAATAATAATAATAATAATAATAATAATAATAATAATAATAATGATAATAATAATAATAATAACAATAATAATAATAATAATAACAATAATGATAACAATAATAATAGTCATAATAAGTTAAGTGCTTTCAGAAGAAGAAGAAAAAAAATGAAATATCTAAAAAGCAAATAGAACATACGCAGGGAAAACAGATTAGTAAGAAAACGGAAAAAAAAGGTATATGTGTAACAGGAATAAAGTTAAGATGATGTAAACCATTTGCTTCTACAACTGACTGAAAATTATCCTCGCTCGTAGCTGTGAAATCATTTCAGAATTGTGCGGTTCATTTGAGGACAGACAGGTTAACATGAGGCTGAAATTCATCCTTTTCCGTCGTTTTTTTATGAATGATTATGTATAAGTATGCATATATACGGACATACATATATACATACATGTGTACATTTATATAGCTATCTATCTTTTACATATAGATAGATAGATGGAGAGAGAGAGAGAGAGAGAGAGAGAGAGAGAGAGAGAGAGAGAGAGAGAGAGAGAGAGAGAGAGAGAGAGAGGGGAGATAGAGAGAGGGAGGGGGAGACAGAGGGAGGTAGAGAGAGAGAGAGAGAGAGAGAGAGAGAGAGAGAGAGAGAGAGAGAAAGGGGGGGGGAGAGAGAGAGATAGATAGAGAGATAGATAGATAGATAGATAGAGAGAGAGAGAGAGAGAGAGAGGGAGGTAGAGAGAGAGAGAGAGAGAGAGAGAGAGAGAGAGAGAGAGAGAGAGAGAGAGAGAGACATGCGGCAGGATTTCAATATGACGCAAATATTCTGATGTGTTCGTGCTGACAGCTGTTGTAAGGGAAAAATGACAATAAAGAAAAAAACACGTACCAAGCGTATTTTTACTGTCATTTTTCCTCCGAAATATTTACCTTCAAAGTCTTATTATAATATTTTCTGTTGCATTTCGTGAGTAATTCTGCTTATTTATTAACTCGAAAATAATTAAAGCAGTATTATATCTTCAGAATACAGATACCTTCCTCCAAGGTATTAAGATAAAAACACCAATGATAATAATAACTCTAACAACAATTATGATGAGGATGGTGATCATGAAGGTGAAGTTAATAATGATGATGATAATGATGATAATAATGAAGATGATGATTACGATGATGATGATGATGAAGACGATGATGATGATGATGATGATGATGATGATGACGATGATGATG